GAAGTGGCGCTGTGGCTCAAGTGGTAGAGCGCTAGCCTTGAGCTGAAGAGCTGAGGGACAGCGCGCAGGCCCAGAGTTCAGGCCCCACGACCGGACCAAAAAAAAAAAAAAGCAGGAACCATTGCTTCTGGTCTCCGGCGTATGTTTTCAAGTTGCAGCACCACTCAGGAGTCCCTTGATCCTTACCCACCCAGGCCTTACCACCCACCCAATTCTTACCACCCACCCCGATCCATACCACCTTCCCAGACTGTTTGGGCCCAGTGCCACTGCTCCTTCTGGCCTCTCCTGCTCTTGGCACCTCACTCAGCTGCCATTGTCTTAAGTGCTTATGTTGGAACAGCTCCATTAGTTCATCACGTCTGTAGGCTTTCCTATAGTGAGAATACCTCTCACTTTCCTACCACTCAAAGGGAACTTTGTGCAGGAGTCGTGATTGATGCCAGCAGGGGGAGACATGAGCTCTGCACATGTGTTCTCAGGTGGCCTTCACTGAACCATGAGTCTGGTTATTGTTCACCTTGATGTACTGAAGGAACAAAGTTCAAGGTAAGTAACCTGCTCCAGATCACATAAGTGTGGAATGGTCTTTGAAAGGTTGGTTTTAATAAAGCTAATCGCTGCCTGAAACTGGTAGTCAGTCTGTGTTTTTCTGTCTCTGGGTCTTCTCTCGTGCTTTGCTTTTTCCATAGGCAACTGTGACTTCTGGCTTGTCTCCAGGCTGTCTCCTCAGGAGCAGGAGCTCCTAGGGCCATTGCTGGCTCCCAGTCAAGCCTCTCCAGGCCTCGGCCAGAGTAGGCTGAGGGGAAAGGAGCAAAGTTTTCTCCTTCTCTCCAGTCTAGAGCTCCTCCTACAGTGCACCTTGCTTTGCTTTCCTCCCCGAGGCTGAGGGGCCACCGGAGGGCTAAGCAGAGTGGGAGGCTAGTCACCATGACTAACTCCTAACTTGGAGTCAGGGAAGAAGGGGCTTTCTTGGTTTCTTACTGCATCTGTTGCTTAGGAGCCTGACAACAACTTGAATACTGGGACCTTAATGCTGGTGCTGCCAGGGCCTGTGATCAGTGATCACACTTGACTCATATCTTTCCTGTCTAGTTAGGAATATTGAGAACAAACTTCTGTCCTACCCTCTAAGCTACTTGGTCTTGGTGTCTTTCGGTCTCTGTTGGGATGTGGGCTCCCTGGTGCACTGGGCCAGGGCCCCCATAGGTCCAGGTTGCCTAGAACAGCACTCATGTCTAAAATTTCAGTGCAATTATCCATATCCTCTTCTGTTCTGAAAAGTGTCCAAGTAGAACAAATAGATTAGGTGATTACTCCATGCCAGGTCCACTGGCCTAGCTGTAATCCCAGTCCCAATAGACCATTTAGCCTTTCTGGGACCTTGTTTGACCACTTGGACAAGAAGAGGATGCTATTTGCAGTACCTTTGAGGGGACCTGAGGGTCCCCTTGGGTCAGTGGCACCAGCTTTCTGGTAGAGCCCAGGTCAGGGGGTAGGAACTGACCTCTCGCTGTGTGGGGAGTCACGCAGGGAGTCTATGGAGTCGTGGTAGGGTGGCATGGCAGCCCTGCGCCGCTCCTCCAGGCTGTAGGCTGCTGCCCGCCGGGCCCGGGCCTCCACACACGCTGGGCTGTTGCACTTGCTGGTGCCCACGGACGATAGCATGATGCCTGACTGGGAGTCAGAGGTCAGGCTCTCAGAACGTTCCAGGCTCCATGTGTGGCTCTCATGTCTGGGAAAGTCAGATGGGGAAGGATAAGGCAAAGGTTCAGAAAAGGGACAAGATGTGGTCTTATGGCCACCAGTTCCCTGGTTCTTCATTCTATCTGTGACTCCTGTAGTCATCGTCTTCTGGTGTAGAGTATCACAAATGTCCATGTAAGGAGGACTGGAGTGTGAACTGTAACATGCAGAGAGCTCCCCTTCCGCACTAGGATTCTTCCACCCTGCAGTTCTTAGTCACCTAGCTCAGCAGCCCAGCTCTAGGGGTCCCAACTTTTCTATAGAGCTCTCCAGGGAAGGAGGGTCCAACCATGTTATCTATAGGCTGTGTGGATGGGCCACACTGGTTCTGGTGAGAGACCATGCAAACTGTGTATGATTTGTATGGCAAACTCAGGAGAGAGTGTCAGATAGCTGTGGGGTATTGAATGAGATAAAGTACTGGAGTCTACAAGGTTCTGTAGGCTTTGGTGCTGCCCACCTGTGGCTGGAGGTGGGCGTGGCTGAGGAGCAGTGGTGAGAAGGAGAACAGGAGTGGCTCCCGGAGAAGGTGGTCTCAGTTTCCCTTCGGATGACGTGGTCAGTGGCTGGCACATTCTTGGAGATGTACTGGGACAGACAAAGAGTTGGGGGAGTTAGTGATGGGGACCGAGTTGACATTCTTTCTGGTTAGGGACAGACATGTACTGAGTGCTGAGTAGGGGTGATCTACTGGATGAGATAGATTTGGTGATGGATTAGTAATGATGGACCCAGCCATTCCACCCATCACTCTTCCTTATGGCAGGGGGCAAAGAAGATGCCAGAGAAGGCCAGCTGTCTAGTGAGAGCTCTGAGGGGGCCTGGGAACACCACTCACATCTGCCATCTGGATCTCTTCGGGGTCCAGCCGAGGATGGCTAGGCCCATTGGCCAAGCTCCGGTTCTGGTGTGCTGGGCACATGTTCTGGCGGAGGTGGTTGTGCATCTGCTTCCGCTGTTTTCTATACAGGGGGAAAGATGGGTGAGCCTGGCACCTTCCCTCTCAGAGCATGAACTTCCCAGGGAACCTAGGGTGAGGGAATGCTTTCTAGCTGTGCCACTCTGGCAATTCTCAGAAGCTCTGCATGTCATATCACTCCTTTGTCTAACCCCCGCCCCCCCCATTAGCTCTCAGTGCCCTATTTCTACCTCAGCCATATCTCTGTCCACCCTCCCACCACATTCAGCAACAGCTTATTTCTGATGCTCTATGATGCTCTGCAACTCTGGGCCAGAGGCTTGTGCCTGTGTGCTTACTAGTCCATTTATCTGAACACTTTCCCTGCCTCTACACCTATAACTTTCCTTCCTCCCTCCTCTTCTCTCTCTTACTCCTTCCCTTCCTTCCCTTCCCTCCTTCCCTTCTTTCTTCCTTCCTTCCCTCCTTCCCTTCTTCCTTCCTTCCTTCTTTCCTTCCTTCCTTCCTTCCCCTTGTCTCCTCTCCTCCCCCCCCCCCTGCTCTCTTCCAGTCCTGGGGCTTAAACTCAGGGCTTGGGTGCTGCCTCTGAGCTTTCTTGCTCAAGGCTAACAGTCTACCATTTGAACCACATAGCTCTACTTCTGGCTTTTTGGTGGTCAACAGGAGATAAGAATCTCACAGACTTTCCTGCCTGAGCTGGCTTTGAACTGTGAGCCTCACATCTTAGCCTTCTGAGTACTTAGAATTACAGTTGTGAACCAACCACATGCTGGCTTCTCAGGCCCCAGCCTAACTGCTCTTACCCTTCCACCCTCCAGCTGAGCCTCGGTGCCTTTAAACTGTCCTATGACATTGGACCTCTTGCTTAGAGCACTGGCCACATGCCTGGGGGTAGGGTGTGGTATCTAGTAATATTTTAGCACTGAATGAATATTTGGTGAAGAAATGAGTAAATGCAATGGGGGTCAGAGCAGTGGCTTGCTTCCTGCCCAATTTTCCCTCTTGGACCTAATTTTCTCCCCCAGGCTTCCTGAGCTTCCACTCTCTTCTTAGTCTTGGCTAACTTTTCTGGTTCATTCAACATGAAGTTAGAAGGACACTAGGTCCCACTGATACATCAGGAGTTCAGACTCAGGGGCTCAGTCCCTGAAATGGCTATTCCCAGACCCTTGATCTCCAGAGAGGAACATTTTTCTGTATTACACTACTCTACAGCCTTCATTAGTGCTCATTGTCTGCAGGACAAACACAGACCCTCTAGTTTGCAGTAAGACCCTGTGGTGGCCTCTGAGTCCCAGTTACCCCTTAGCTCCTCTGACTCCAGCCCTTTGTATCGTGCAGTCTAGGTTGCAGTGCAGCCGGCTGCAGTTGCTCTATCTGCTCTTGCCTTTCAGTTTGTACTTCTCCATTTGACCTGTCCACTTCCCAAGCTTATACCCCTCCTGTCCTTGGTCTAGAGGTAGCCTAACCCCCCTCCTCTGTGCTTTTGTCTCAAGCACTCCCGGGTCGGGGGTGGGGGGAATAAGGCAGTGCTTCTGTGGCATCTGCACTTCTTTGTTTTCTGTCTTCTGCCTGTGTCTCCCACCAGACAGACCAGAGCCTGTGGGGTTCACTGTGCACTCCTCACAGTGTCTTCTGAGGTACACACTAGGCTTATTTTCATGTCAGCTTGGAGAGGTTCCTCAGTATGTTTAAAGCTCCATAAGAAATCTCAGATCTGGGTTTGAGACTTGTCTTCTTTCAAAGCCTGTGTCTGTGACTCCCTTTGTTCATTCACCTGGGGCTGCTCGTCCCCTCCTTCCACCTCTGCTTTCCTAGCCAGCACCTTGGCTCCACAGAGAGGAGGCTGGAGTTGGGGGAGGGGCACAGTGGGGTGCTGGTGTCCTCACAGAAACATCTTGGAGGCCATCCTCTGGCTTGGCCTAGCCCCAGCCTGAGAGTTTGACACTCACTTGGTCTTGCAGTAAGCAACCACGCAGACGATGCCCACGACTAGCAGAGCCACGCAGATGCCAGTGATGGTCAGGACCCTCTTCTGGTACAGCTCCTCTGCCTCTGTAGGATCAGAGTATATGTGAAGGGTGCAGATGTCCCCTGTCCCCAGCCTCAGGCTCCCTCAGGTCCTGCCATCTCATGCCTGTTTCCCCTGGTCCTGCCCACCCAAGGACCTGGCCACCCTTCCCCAAACTACATGCCTGCTCAGAACACATGAGTGGAAAATGCAGGGGAGAAATGGAAGACAATGGAGTGGAGGCAATGTCTCAAGGTCATAGAGAAGAAAGGCAAAGGCAGGACCACTGGCCAGCATCGAGCCCTGTTCCACAGTGGCCTGACAGGTCTTTTGGCCAGGGAATATGGACATCTTGGCCAAAGACCTGACTCAGTCACCTCTGTTTCCCTAAGAAGGGCTGGTGACAGGACATCAGACCCACACTTAGCAGGGAGGCTAGGGTCAGAAGCAAGGATAGAGAAGACTTGGGTGCAGGGGTGTAAGGAGAGAGGCCTTTACCCTCACAGCCTGGTCAGGATTCTGGCCTGGCCCATTAGCCCTTCCTGTCTGCTGGGAGAAGCTCAGAGGTGCAGCAACATCCCTCTGGCATCTCAGGCTGTCTTTGGGCACCACCAGCAGCGCCTATCCTTGCTGGCAAATTGAGACAGGGCCATCAATCTCTCAGAAAAGCCTGTCTTTTCTACCTCCTTGTCTTGTGAGGCAACCCTGCCCCTCTAGAATAGAAATAGGCGGAAGAAAAGGAAAGGGTGACAGCACTGGCCACAGCAAAGAGCATAGCCTAGAAAGCCACCGTGCTCCATCTGCACCTGCTGGCTGGCCCCTCTGCCTTGTTCCCACCTGTCCCCCTCTCCCACCACTTAGCTCAGTGACAAATAGTGGCGGGACCATCACACTTGATGAAGCCCAGGGAAGCATCCCTAACTCTTCGGCACTGAGGCCTATGGTGACTCCCTCCTGGCCCACTGTGCCAGGCCTTTGAATGGTGGCTCTCTCCTGGCCTCCTTCTACCTCACAGGCTGATCTTTCAGCCTCAGGACTGTTTCCTTTTCTCCTACTTGGGCTGGAAGTGGGAAGGGCTCAGGGCTCTCAGACATCTTTCTCTATATCACCTGCCTTCTCTCCCTTAAGGACATCATCCAGACAGACTGTACTATCCATATGCGTTTGCTATTTCTATCTCCTCCTCTGACTCCCCTCTTGGTTCCAGACTCAGGTATCCGAAGGCCATGGCTGCCAGAATCACTAGTTCCCCAGCTCTTTCCACACTCACTCTGCTACTTTTCTCTTCTTCTTAGTGTGACACCTCTTCTCCCATGGTTCAGATTCCACGCCATAGACTCATTCTTCTTCACTCCTATCTTCTTACCTTGCCTAATATATGGCCCATTACAAGTCCTCCCAGCTCTACCTTCTAAGCAGGTCTTAGCTCTGATCACAACAGGCATGTTTACCACTTTCAACATGGTCCAGGATGATGGCTTCCCTCACCTGGTGATGTTACCTTCTGACAGGTCTTTTTGCTTCCACCTACCTTGACCCCACTGCCAGCCCCAGGCTCTACCAGCAACAGTAATGGAGAAGATCTCACTTTAGTCCCCTGTTAGAAACTCATCCCTTCAATTCAGATAAAATACAAGGCCATGGTCTCCAAGGTCTCTGACTACGAAGTCCCTATCTTCCTTTTTGGTATCATCTGTCTTCTCCCCTATGTCCATGTTGCTCAGAGTCACTGACCACTGAACAAGCCTGCTCCAACACTGACACTATTCCCCAATTGTTTGCCAGATGTCCCCATGTGGGGTGAGAATTTTCTGATCACTAGGCCCAATTACTCCCCCAACTCCCACTCAGACACATCCACATACACCCACACTCACCTACATATACTCCATATTCCATCAGCCAACATTCAACTGCCTAACACAAGGCCTTGGTACTTCCCCTTCGTGCCCTCACATCTTGCCCTAGGAAACCTAGCAGTTTCCCCCACCCCAACAATATCCATGTATTCATACCTGCTGGTTTCCTCCTGTGCCTGCCACAATCCCCCACAGCTTCCACCCCTTCTCTCTACCCCAGCATAGCTCAAAAGCACAGACTCTGACTTGCAGACTCAGAGTTTGTCTTTTACTGAGAACAGTTGATAGGAACTAACCAGGTGGTGGAGGCAGTAGGGCCTCCCAAACCTGGCAGGAGACTAGGCCTTTCCATATCTGCAGGCTGGAAGCTCTACCCTCTGAGCACCTGAAGGCCTTTGGCTATCATATATCTGGATGCTTGAGGCCAGAGTGGAGCCTCCAGGCCCAAATCCAGAGACCTAGAATCGTAGGCTTCCAAAGTCCCTTATATCCCAAAGAGTCATCCAGAGTCCAGACAGAGAGCAGTTGCAGTGGGTTGTGAGGTAGGAGAGCACATGTAAGATTCAGAGCTGGAGGACAAGTAGCAGGCACCACAGGGCAACCCAAACTCTTGCTGAACTTACTGGCAGACATTCTCTGTCTGTCTGTCTGTTTCTCTCTCTTTCCCCCTCTTTCTCTTTGTCTGTCTCATACACACACACACACACACACACACACACACACACACACACAC